TATGTGATTTCTGTGTAAATTCTATGTAATTTCCAATGTGTGTAAATATTAAAATAAAACTATGTATTAACGAGCAATCGAGAGCTGTCTAGACAATAGATAGATCGACCCAGGTTCTGGGAAAAATTCAGAAGCAATGACAACGTTTTTATTTGTACTGAAAAAATGAAAATATTTGTATGATATTCCACCTATTTTCATAATCCGCCTACATTCTGCATTCTCATTCTCCTTGCGTTACTCCTTACGCCACAGATGTTATACGGCAGCAAAGCTCCAAGGAAGAGACCCCCACTATTGCGTAAAGTGTTATGAGACAGCAAATTGTTTGGAATTCTTGGGATGTAAAGAACTGTTTTACTGCATAAACCATGTTATTAAACCATGTTATTCCCGAAGACGTTTTTTGTTATAATATTATTTTTTTACTGATACGTAATTGCTTGTTATTGCCTTTGACACGGAGGTCGATATTCACTGCACAACTTACCTGGTTCGAGAGGAGGATCATGGTGACGAGGGAAATTTGAAAACAATTCAATGTGCCTACATGTTCTCTTACGGAAGAAAATTATGATAGGGAATTATGACAGGGAAATGCGAAATGACAAACCGAGTTAAGCTAACTAATTAATTAGTAAATAAGTACAAATGAATCATTATAATTAGGTAAAAAATCAAATCGTGCATGTACCACGGGCGTTAAGCCAAAGGCCGGCCTAAGGGCTTTTTGTCGCCCCACTTCATTAGAACCCGTATAACGCCCTTAGTGCATGTATAACTATTATTGGAGTGTTATACTAGAGTGTTTTATTTTTTGTTCTAGAGCAGTGATCGTGCTAGTTTTTAGGAAAACATTTTGTTTGTACGGCTTTATTCAGCAGAATGTTTGCTGCTGCAGGGCTTTAGTTAAATAGTATAATTTAACTATTAAACTAATAGTATTAGTTCGTTCGGCTTTACAAAACCCAAACAGATGTATGAATGCATAAATATTTTTTTTCTAAACAGTCATGTTAAAAAAAATATTAAATAAATCATTTCAAAAGCTATTTTGTGTGGCACCATAAAAAACAATGAACAATCTCAACGTTATTGTTGAAAATAATTCAGAATTTTGAATTAGGAATTATGGTCTAAGGGAAAATAAAATCTCGAATGTTCCCACAAAATAATTGTTATAACAAAATTGCATTTTTACTTCTTTCTTGTGATCCAATGTTTATAAATTATGATTAAATACCTAAAAGTATATGAAGATAATTATTATAAGAAATTTTCTTTTCGAGGTTTTTGCTATAAAATTCAAGTACACAATCTACTGATGAGGTACTAATATACATGTTCAATCAGTAATCACCATGTAATAAAATTAATGTGAATGGATATGGTCATAGAACAAACGATCAGAAAAAAATCCTACCTGCATTCAAGAAACAAATACTTTTGGATGTTAAAATCTCCCTTCAGATTAAACCAACATTTAACTTCCTAAAGAGCAAACTACTGAATATTCATTTTAATCAACACTGCATTGCATACAATGTCGCCAGTGCAATTTTTTTCAATTCCATTATGTATTTTACTACATAATATCCATTATTAATTTATTCACTTCATACTGAAATATTCCCTTCATTTGCAAGGACGTTTTTTATTGTTGACGTCAGTTTTATTATTGGCACTGAAATTGAATAATGTGCTTTCTAGGCTAACAAACGTCAACAAATTGTATGTCAAGCCAATTGCACAAGCTGCCTAGTTTTTCTCATATATCTCATCACCGTAACATCAAAACGATTTTCAGTTACGACAAAGAAAGAGAGGAATACATCTCTCCCGTAAGTCTTCGTGTCTCGACTCTCCTGCTATCGCTAACGAAAAATGCTGCCTTATCCCTGCCTGGCGCAAACCCTCCGAACTTGCCACAAAGTCGTTTAACGTATTTCCGCTTTAAGGGAATAGTACACATCTAGCCTTTCCTTACCTGACGCAATGCAGTTTTTGAATGCGTTTAGTATGCGTATTTCCTTGGAGTATTATCTGTCCCTCCGCGGCCAGAAACACACAACTACAAGGGCATCGCCCGGCACCACTGCCACTGCCGTCTGTTCCTTGTTAAGAGCCGGTTTCACCAAACGAAGAGTAAGAGTTTACTCTGGAGTAAATCATGTTTACTCGAGAGTAACTTCTTGGAGCGTTTCACCAACACTTTACTCGAGTGTAAATCGCTTACACGAGAGTAAATTCGAGAGTAACTTTACACCGCGAAATTCCGTCGGGTAAAGTACGGAGTAAATTCAGTTTTCAATGTGCATGTACCTCCGAAGTGCTGTTACGGTTCGACGATTACGAATGATAGTATTTGTAGACGATTCCAGCAATGATTCGGAATATTATCCACTAGTGCGAAGACAAAGGGTGCGAGAGATAAAGGATTGGTTTTAATTTTGACGATCGAGGTTTTTGTCAGGAGGTTATGTTTGACCAAATCAACTGTTTAACTTCATCAGATACATTGTAAACTATAGAGAACGTCTAAAGTTCTTTTTGCCTCATGTGGATACGAAATAAAGGTAGTACGAACCGAAAACGACAACAAAACGAAAAATAATAACTACAGGAACTACAAGTACTAAGAATTATTCATTTATTTATTCGGTAAAAACTGTATGTGACGTATGGGGGAGATCATTTGCGCACGTTTTCTTGAGTTCCAGAATCCCTTTCCAACATTTTAACTATAAATAGTTGAAAGATGAATAAAAGTTTAAAAAATAAAACAACATATAATAATAAAATTTAGAAAAACACGATATCAGCAACATTTGAAAAACTAAACATTTTCGTTCCCTAGTTATAGAAAATTCATTTGCACTGCCATCGGTAAACGAACTGAAAATTAGATTTTTTTGCATTGCTAACAAAATAGTAACTCGTCTCCAGAGAAGAAGAATGAATATTTATTAAGAAATAAATATATAGAAACTAGGAAATAAACTATGCTAACTCAAACCACCATAACACCGCACCAAATTCTAACGCCAAGAACTCCGAAACTGAAACAAATGATAGAATATCAGGAATTAATCAAAGTTTCACGTTGGTCCGCATTGGTTCCCAGCGTCATTCTCGCTCACAGCCTCATGAATCGCTCTCAAATATTGTGTGTTCAGCTGATTTGCGGAGTAAATAGGAGAGTATGTACTCTAGAGTAAAATAACCCTCTAGAAGCATGGTGAAACGCTCATATTCTACTCGAGAGTTACTATCTTGGAGTAAATGGTTACTCTCGGGTAACTACTCTCAACTTTACTCGGCTGTTGATGAAACCGGCTCTAAGTAGTTGAATTAACGCTGCGGGAATAAGTTGTGAGCATTTTTGTCGTTTTTTTTCTTCTGAAAATGCAGCAACCTCCTATGACCCTACTTTTAGGAATCCAGAGGTTCAATCTTCGGGTATTCGAAATTCAAATGAAGTGAGGATTACAGAAATTCACTTTTTCGCAAATAGTAATAAAAGAACTGAAAATGCATAGTCACAACATTGTTCGTTAATTCCGGTACATGGTCAGTAAGTACAATTACCGAAGAAGAGTTTAATTGAGTGGAATCCCTGTAAAATGATATCAATTTACTTAGAACAATGTTTTATAATTGTGCAATTAAAAATATTACAATAAACAAGAATTATCTCCAAAACTAATATGAGTTACTTTTATTTTGATTTGTTTGAATCTGATTGGTTTTGTACATCGCCATGTTTCTTCTTAATAAACAGTTGACTTGCGATGAATCGATGGTTGTTTATTTACGTTGCTAAGGATGTTCAATTTCTTACTGGTAGGTACAATGGCACTTAACAACCTTGTAGGACTGCGTGTTACCGGAGGCGAAAGAGGCAATGACCGATAAATAACTAAAATGTATTCGGAGCAATAAATATGATAATCACCACTGTGAATGGGCTAAAACACTTTTTCCAAAGTTGCTAGTCTTTTTCTAGATTACAGGTTTTACGTAGCTTTCTATAATCATTATTGCCTCTATGACGTCCGTCGCTTATGAAATATACAACTGTTTTATAAAGAGTTTACAAAGAATGCACTTTGTGTGCCTAGGTGAAAGGCCTTCACTTAGCGTCACATCATACGACGATATTTCTTTGTCAGCTTTGAACAAATGTACAAATTAAAATATGGAGCACTTCTTGCAGCTAATAACATTTTACATAGCTTCAAAATACATAATTCTAAAAACAGAAAAATATAGAGTTCAACTATCAATTTCAACTTTAAATTTACTGATCTTCACACTCAATTATGTCTACGCGACACAATCAGAGTATCTTCCTTTCAGCAATAAAAAATATCGTATTCTATTGTGAAAATAAATCAATGATCTAATGTGAATTAAAAACCAAGATCTCCCTATCTGACTCAACAGTTTCGAAGTATCTTGTTTCAGAACGTTTGTTGATTTGAAATCATTGAATATTTACTAATTTATTTTCATGATGTAAATGCGTTGTTCTTCTACAGAAATTTTTTTCGTAGTACAATTGTCGGTAATTTAACACAGAAGGATTAACAGCATTAACACAGAAGTACAAAGCTGAACTACAAACCCTACAATGAATTCTGTGATATGACCTCATAACCTTTCTCGAATTTTAGTTTCATCGACATTTCCGCCGCGATCAATGAAATTGTCGTATATTATTCATACATTACAGGTATAGCAATCATCTCACCTGTTGCTACCCACGCAAGTCAGAGCTATCCAAATCAAGATAGACATTACCAAATAAAATGTTCCTGAAAAAATGAACTACGAGTGAGTTGATATTTCGAATTATTGCCTTTATCGAAATAACATTTCTGGGGATAAATGTAAAATATAGTGTTTTTTCTACAGAATTATTTTAATTATCAAAACTTCTGCAATGCCTGTTTAACATTTTTTGTCTAAACTACTACTTAAATAACTTTACTTTTCAGAGACGCACAAATCGGCTCTTTGCCTCACACAAACGCGCAGAATTAAAAGAGATCATCGCCAGGAAATTAAACGTGAAGATGAAACTAAGAACATTTGAACTAAGGAATGTGTCCCTTCAGCTTGTTCCTCTCTGTCTTTCTTCAATTTCCGATCTCGCAATGTTGGAAGTGAATTCATGAACAGGGAAGGGATAAGACTCCATACTTTTTGTTCACATTTTCTATGATAAAGCTCTGTGGAATTGAAGCATGTCAAAGTCACGAGCAAGGTAACAAGCTTTCTAGAGTTTGCGGGCCAAGAACAACCAGCACGCAGTTTAAAGGTAAGATTTGTACAAAAGTCCGGAGAATGGTGCATCACTGGACACGTAGCCCACGACAGTCGTTTGGAGAAGTCTTTGCAGAAGGCATTTGAAAGCTAAATTAATTCGCATTGCTTTTACTAAATCAAAGAAACAATCCATTAAAATGAAATATCAGACGTATCTGAAATTGACAATTGAATGTAAAATTAAACATTTTGAATCTGAAGATTTTTTTCCTAATCGCTTTTACTTAAGAATGAATAATTGCATTAACTTCCTATATGCACGTCAGGCAGAGATTCTTGTCAGTGAAAAGAGATGTCCGCACTTGGGAAAGGCTTTATATTTTTTTCTGAGCTTTGATATTCCCGTTAATATATAGAGCAAATAACAGAATTATGTAACGAATTATGACACAAAATGAAAGAAGGCAAAGACTTGGCCGTTCAAGCATGTTCCTTCCTCTTGGCAAAAATGATTATACAAGTCAGAATTTAAAAAGAAAATAAACATTAACTACTGTAATAATAGGTTAAGTATAGCAACAAAACTGAAGTATATATTTTCTAGTTGTTTGAGAGAAAATTTTCTGGAAACATGTCTCCATATAAAGTCATCATTCTTCTCTGTATTAAGAGTACCCTTATACGCTTACATCCTCGCTTGAGGATTTGTAAGAGAACAAAAAAACAATTTCAATTTTATACGTATTATCCATACATGCACTTATATTGTTCACGATATTTTTCTTTGATTTTTAGTTCGTAATTACAGTTTTATTTCACTTTACATTTTTCAAATATAAAAGTTACGTCAAGTTACGTATAGTTACGGAGAGCTCCTTCTCATTTCATCTAATACAAATTCCACTTAATAATGATATCAACAAGGCACGTTACTGAAGTAAAGTTAGTGAAAATAATTTTTCGAATTTTTCATTTCTGCAATTGATAATGAATTATGAAGTAAAATTATAAAGTGATAAATGCTAAAGAGTAAATACTATGATGTTTGGCGTAATGTATCAATGAATACGTATGTTTCTGAGAGTTTTCATTGCTAAGTGTTCGAACTTAGAATTGCAAGAATAGTGGAAGATTAAATAGTTCCTAAAATGCACAGTACAATTATGATGAAGTTGTCAATACAACATATCGTCAATGCCCAATAACAGTGACACGTCCAAAAATAGATCACTTTGCAGGATAATTATTTTATTCAGAATGAAGCCGTTTATTTCGTGCAAAGACCGTTATGCATTGTCTACGTACATGTCATGAGAACAATCTTAATGAAACTTTTTAGTCACTTTTTAGGGCACCGAGGATGAGATGTCCAAATTATAAACGATGGCAATTAATGAGAAAAAAAGAGACCGATCTGAATATCTCAAAACAGTTCAAGCTGTTTTATTTCACCACTATTTACCACCGGTCAAGGAAAATTCTGTTCTTACCTTCAAATGTTGATTAAGACCCAGACGAAACGAGTGCAACTTGAAGTGCGACCACTGCTGGCAGTCAAATATTTTCGAGGAGTTGCGTTGTTTTTACAAGCTTTCATTTCACACACAAACACAAGCAAATGTTTTTATCATTGAGGTAATTTTGTTATAATCCATCACTAAAAATCTTTCTGCTTTAAAACTTTTGTTACAAACGTTTTCTCACTATTTACCTTAGATCAAATGTTATAAACGTTTCGTCATTATTCACTTTAATTCCAGGCTGTTTCCCACAAATTTCATCGTTCACTTCCGTCTGATGACGGATTGTCACGTGACACATTCACTGAAAACACCTGTAGGTCAATTTGATTCACTGTCACCTTATTACGATGTTTCCCGAAAATACCCAATTCGAACACAGTTTTCACTTCCAACAATAAATGATCTTCTAAATCCCAGTTTCGTGAAATATCAAAGAAATCACTTAGGAAAATTGATTTCTAGTTTATTTATAAGAAGAAATCATCAAACAACATGATTCCATCCTAGATAGAAAAAATGACAAGTAAAAGAAGATTGTAACACCTTACTACGAATGTCTGAAAGAGCAATCTCACAGAGCGCATTACTACTTAAGACATCACTCTATTGAATTGACATCAACAAAACCGGAAAGAGATGTATTTATAAATATTATAAATGGGTCTGATTACACCCATTCAATGTCAGATCGCTACAACTTAAGTTTTAGCAAAAAAAAAAGAACAAGAAACAAGCCAAGCACAATTTTACAAGAGCGAATTACGAATATTCCCCAGAACAACCCGATGGCAGACCACACTTCCGGGGAGAAACTATCCACTAAAACGTATGTTGGTAAGACAACCTAACGAAGCACAGCCTTCGTGCTTGGCGCCACGCGACGGCGTGACCCACCCCCGGGGGCGGGGCGCGTGGGGGCGCCAGCGGCGCGGGTCCACGGCGGCGAGCGGGAGGCTGGGCGGGCGCGGCGCGGCGCGGCGCGGCTGGGCTGCTGAGGCGACGGGGAACGGCGCCCAACTGGCCCGCGCGCGCGCCCCGTCCGCCCGCCGCCCGCCGCGCCGCTCCGCGCCGCTCACGCGCACTCGCACCCCCGCACGGGGGTGGCGGCGGCGGCGGCGGCGAGTAGAAGGAGCATGGCGTTTCGGAGATCCCAGGTGGTTTAGAATCTCGCTCAAGGTCTGGGTGATTTTTGACCACGTCGTGATCAAAGATTATATTGTGTAACCGGACACCAACGTAATATTCCATTTAATCAGTTAAATAATTAATCATCAATTCATAATTGGTCAGTAAAGTCAAAATCGGTCAACAAGTAGTTTTATTTATATTGACCTTGCGTGTTTCAAGGTGTTTTCAGCGTGATTCGGAGGAGGGTCGCGAATTCGGAGGCGGGTTTGGCCTGGCAATGCACTGGCAAAGCGGCGATTACAGTAGTCCAGGGGAGGGTTAGAATATTGCGCAGTGTGTGGATGATTTTTCACCACCTCGATGGTCACAGTTATTCGTTAGCGTTTTAACAGCAGCGTATATTACATTTTATAAGCTCAATAGATAATCATCAATCATTAATTGGTCAAGAATGTTAAAATTGGTCTTAAAGTACTTTTATTTATGTTTTTCATTTGTTTACTTGCCAATTCTCGGCGAAGTGTTTTCAGCGTGAATCGAAGGGTCGCAAATTCGGGAGCAAGTTTGGCCTGATGCATGATAGTGCGGTGGTAAAGTACGGGTTTCGGTCACTAATGAACGTTTTGAGAATATTGCACAAAGCGTGAATATCATTTATCTCCTTGATAAATCACTATCATATTGATTATGATCTCTTTTCTGATCCGTTAACTCACGCACACGATCGCAAGCACACAAAAGGGCGCAAAGCCAAACCATTGTGTAATCCATATAATATCTATTTCTGCATTTCTCAGGTAAAGAACGATTTTTAATATTTTGGCACTTGTTTCTTCATTCTTTCTCCGAGCCAGTGATTTAGCGTGTGTCGCGGTGGTGAGAGATGAACAAATTTAAAAGCGAGGTTGGAGCGACGTGTTGGTACTACGGCAAGATCTGAGCTTCAGCTTGTCTTTAGAAATCCCATGAAGCATCAGAAGTTTCGACTTATGATCGGTTACGTAGGCATCCCATTAAATCGTGTGTCATTGATGTCAGCTGCAGCTTGCACGGGCTCGCGCTACACAGGTGCCTGGACTCAGGATTTAGAGGTCGCGCTGGCGCCGAAGAGGCCGGCGTATTAGATGTAAGGTGAACTAACGGCAATCAGCTGGGACACTATTAGCCAATCTGGAGCTTCCTTACAATGTATATAATGTATATAAAAGTTACGGATTGAATAACCGTTTCTCAATGGTCCCGATTAAATACCGTGTCAACATTCAAATCTCCCTACATTTAAATCGTGGTATAAGCAAATTTCAAAGCAAGAGGAAGCTGAAACGTTTCGGCGTCGCAAAAGCCACCTTCTCCAAACGCGATAGGTGCAAGGGCTGCTAATGAAAATATTGTTCTTTTAATTTGAAATCGCGTGTCAGGAAGTACAATTTTACACTAATATACTTTTAAACAATTAACAAATCATACGTCATTATATTCCTTTTTTATGGTATATCCATTGATAATGAGAAAAATATAGTTCCGATTAAAAATCAAAGATTAAAAAATTTCTCAACAGGTAAATATATTAAAAATAATATTTCTACCGCGAATTAGTTTTCCGTGATTCCGTATTGTTGGGAAAAAACTGCATTTCGATATCGTACATCGTTTCGAAATTATGAGGGTGACCCATACTTGGTGGAACATCTGGTACACAGGATGGACCAGTTAAGCTGACCACAGCAAATATCATCGAAGCTGTTGAGGTACCAAGATACAGCTTGCGCCACGTTGTTGTTGATAATACAATAAATAGCATACTGTTTCATTTTTTAGTTTGTACGTTTTGTCATTTTTGACATAGTCTCAACTTTGTTTTTTTAAAAGGAAGTTTATAGGTTTCTGTCACCATGCTAAAGTTCTTGAAGAGACGAATACAATGATAAAAGCAATTTTATTTTAAGAACGAAAATGTAGAAAATTAATGATGCTACAACAACACATACTGTCTCGCAATACTTTTAATGGTTATGGAATATTATAATGTGACTAATTTCTCTCTTAGACTTCAGGAGTCAAAAGAACGAAGCGCGAAAAGTACATATACCTTGAATGGCAGAAATGGTGAGAAATTTACGATATTTGCATCTTAATAACAGATTTGAGGCGTTGTTTTGTCGTACGTTTTATTTCCCTAGAAAGCCTTTTAGGTCGCGTTGCGGCCATCTTCGGTGCAACAAAACTAATAACAATATATCTTAACTTCAAATAAAATATAATCTATTACCGAATATTATTATGAATTACGTTAGAATTGAAACAAATTAGAAAAATTGGAATATAAAATGTGAAAATGGGAACATAATTTTGAAATTACATTAAATAACAAATGTAACATCTCAAGTGAAGTAAAATAAAATAAAAATAGTATA